CACTGCAGTCATTCTTGTCTTGATCGTCTCCATTGTTTGGTCCTTGGTGGATACAGAAAGCACCTCAAATCCCAAATGCGATTCTACCAGGAATCCGAGGGCATGGAGGGTCTGTACCTCGTGGGCTTCTGCAGCATTAGCTGGCCGAGCACTCTGGTCAGGGGGCCCTTCTGGGTAAGTAACTGACATGGAGCCATGACTGGAGTGATCTGGGGGCTCTGCAGACACCGCGGATGGAAGTGGGCCAGCTGTCAGTGAGGCTGCTGGTTCTGCCCAGCCACACGGGGTTGGTTGTCTCACCACCAGGCAGTCAGCAACTCCCCAGAGTCCCCTTCAGTTTGCTCCGCCTCCTGAGCAGGGCTGAAGTGCCCCCCCGGACTCCTCTCCCTGCCTCCTTACCCCCCCCTTCTTTTACTTGCCCTGTTTTGCACCTGCAGAGCCTCCTGTCATCTGAAGGGCACTTTCTAGGGCAGATGCTGGCAAGTCTCCTGGAATAATGGACCCCAAATGGCTGTGTGACCTTGCCAGCTGCTGCCTCGCCCATCTTCCCTTAAAACCCTTCAGAGGCCCCAGGGGCCCTGGGATCAGCCCAGACTTCACCTGCCCGACTTGCACTGATGACCTGGTCTGGCCCACTCAAACCCTATAGTTTCCCCCTCTCTGGTTTCTGGGCCTCCGCCTCTGCAGATCCCTCAAATCACCCGCGCTCTGTACACATCTTCAGGATGAACTATCACTTTTCTTTAAGAAGCTGGGCCCTGACCATCCGACTGGCCGAGGAGGGCTCTTTGGAGCTCCCACAAGTGCCCTGTGCTCCCCTCTCGAACTGCACAATCACACCAGTCATCTGTCTCCTGCCCTAGGCCCGGCACTTCCTTTCCTGCCCCGCGCTGAGGACAGAGCCAGGCCCCCTCAGCCGTCCCCTCCTTCCCACTCAAACCCCGAGTCCAAATCCTTCTACGCAGCCCCGCGTGGCTGCCACCCTCTCCCCGCAGGTCACGCGAAGCTCCGCGCCACTGACCACAGACTGCTTAGGGCTTGCACCCGTTCCCGGGCGTCCCCCGTTGTCGGGTCCAGTCTCTGCTCGGCAGCATGGCCTTCAAGGCTCTGCCTGGCCTTGCCTTCCTATGAATTCCCCGCTCAGAGAGAATTAAGAACGCTGGGGAGTGCCGGAGCAGACTGAGGGAAAATCTGCTTACAACCCAGAAACTCTGAGAGGGAGCATTGTTTTCCCATCCATTTGGGGGCATCTGTTTACATATAGGGTGTGTTCCAGAAGTGCCTGTGCCTCCAGGCTGTGGGCGGGCTGAGCATCGCTGCTCTCCGGAGTGGTTCCCAGACTGGTGAATTTTACTGGCAAGTTGATTTCTTTCTTTCTGTTAATTTGAGGGGCAGTAAGATTGCCAACTTTTTATTTTGCAAAATAAGCACATTAAACAAAACACTACCATCTTTTCATGAAATAAAGGACTTTTGTAGACTGAAAAAAACCAGGATTTCAGTATAAAGGTCAGCACTCTAGCTTTCTGGGGGACTTGCCACAACTGCCTCGGTTTTTCTGATTTTGTCCGGGACTGGTAGGGAGACTGGCTCCTGAATTCAGGCCTTTGGGTCAAGTGTGATGGCCCGTGGCGCTCCCCTCACAGATCCCTGTTTGCCTTCCACTGACACGTGGGTGCTGTTTGTCTGGCCTGCTGGGGAGAGGGGGCTGTTGTTGGTCCTTATTGCTTTCCCACCCTTACTGAGATGGTCACCTCAAATTAGTTTGGTTTCAGAGATTACAACCCAAGCCATGAGCACAGCTGAGCTGCCTTGGGCCCCAGGGTACAAAGGGTGACCCTGGGTTGGGCAAGGCTAGGTTCCCTGGAGACTCCTCCAGTCTTGCACCCCAAGGATCACTGGCGAGGCTCAGGAAATGGCATTCCTCACTTGGACAGTGCTGCTCTCAAGATGGGCATCTTCATCAGTGATGGCATGGGTGGCAAGGCCAGCCCAGGGCCCCAGGTGGCGCTGATCTTGGTCACTGTGAGAGCAGACTCGCTGGGGAACTTTCAAAGGAGGTTTTTGAGGATGGAGATGAGGAAGTGGGCTACAGACCAGGCAGATCTGGCCAGGAATCAGTGCCAGCACCCATGTGTAGTGGCAGTGGGGAATGTATGTTTCTATAATGGGGGTGACACTGATTGATGGTTTCCAAGTGTAGAATTTTCTGTATGTAAATCAGCCTCCAATTCCATGGCAGTTCAACAGGGTAGCAGCTATCTGACCAAAAGGGAAGTTCCAGGCAGGCCCTCAAGCTGGCAGGCTCAGGACCTCGAGGTCACCAGCCCTCTCAGAGTCACACTAACCTACCTAATAAGACACTGAGTGACAAGTCAGGCCCCACATGGGTCGTTGTGTACAGGGAGAGTTATCTGGTAGGATAACTGACTTTGGACATTTGACTATTTTGATTACTGATATCTTTAAGTGGGCATCCTTTGGCAAGAGGCGAATAGTGTCCTTTTCTGGTGTCCTTATTCCTGAGTCATCTCTGTGGTCATATCCCGTTCTGCAGGAGCACACTCCTTAGGTCCTGACTGTCACCTTTTAGCATTCTTCCCAGCAAACTTGCTGTCAACGGCCAGGCCCTGTGTACTTCAGACTTCTGTTGGCTCTGTGTGCTGTGTTGGGGCTATTGAAGTGGCAGGACAACAGTAGACAGGGGTAGTGCAAAAGCGAGTGGGCAGGGTTGTTCCCACAAACTTCGTGGACCCTTGAATTTGAATTTCCTCTAACTTTTTCAAGTCCCAAATCATTTTCTTTTGATATTTTTCAACCACAACGCCCCCCCCCCCACGCAAACTCTACCTTAGCCAGTGTATTGCTGGTGGGTTTAGGTGTCTCCACTGCATATTTACCAGTGAGAGTAGCAGTTGGGTATGACTGTGACTCTGTGTGTGGATGAGATGGTCTCACACCCCACCCCATAGCTCTTCCGCCAGGACAAGGGTACAGGTGCCGGGGTGAAGCCATTACAGCCTGGTATAGACAGGACGATGAAGACCAGAGGGCCAGGGAATGGCCCACGGTACCCAGAGTTAGTGCGAAGTTTGGGGGCAGACCCGCATCCTGGAATGCACCATACAGGGTAGGCAGTGTTTGTGTAGCTGTTAGGAGAGGAGCAAATCTGGCTTCTCTGCTCACTGTCTAACGTACTCAGCTTGCGATATCTCATTTCATCCTTAGCACAACCTGATGGGGTCCAGCCAGGATTTTAATGCTTTGCAGCTGTAAAGCACATGTTCCTAGCCCATCAGCTGCTGGAGTTTCTAGTGCTCTCCCTCGATAGTATGGAACCTGAAGGAACCTTCATTTTGCTCCTTTTCCCTCATTAATTGTGGAGCTGACGTGGACATTCTGTAAGGAATTTAAAAATCAGGGTAAAATGCCTGGAATACATCATGTAGCTAGTGTTTTCAATGAGCACTAGTGATTTGTGGTAAGTGTGCAGCTAGTCGGTGTCAGAGAACCAGCAGTGCCTGGTAATGGGGACATTCAATCTCCTTAGATGTTTTGGTTTTCCAGTCGCACAGTCAAAGCACTGGATGAAATTCACAGGGGAAAGATTTCACCTCCATCTCAGGGAGATCCCGGTCCCCCCAATATGGCTCACTGCGGGGGTGCCCCTGGAGGTGGGAGCGATGGGGGGCACAGGAAGGCTTCCGAGCGGCGCTGGCGGGGAGTGGTGGTAGTTGTTCTCTAAGGAAGATGTGGCCCAGGGCAGCCAGTGCCGGGTAATGGCAGACAGGCTCCAGCCGCCCCGCCGCCACTGCGCAGGGAAGCGGCGCTTTCCCTTTGTCCTCAAAAGCTGGCTGCAGGAGGGCGCTTCTGGAAAGCTTTCCTTTCCTGTCCGAGGCTGCAGGAGGCACTCTGCGGCTCGGGGCAGTGCCGGAATCTGTTTTCCCCGGTCCCGGAGTCGGACCGGGTCTGCGGGGCTCATGGGAAAGGACCGCAGCGCGTTTGTGGATCGTGGAGCCCGTTTACAGGTCGGCTCTGCAGAGGTGAATCTGCGCTTCGGGCGCATTCATCAAAACCCCGGGAGAGCCGACCCGGTGCCTCCCCGCTAGCCCCCCGGGCCCTGGAGTTGCGCCCGATTCGGGACACCCCGGCCCGAGGCCACCCCACCCTGCCTTTTCATCTGCTCCGGCGACTCCAGCGTCGGGCTCGCCTCCCCACCCCCGAGACGTGCGGCTATTTGCCAACAGCGAGCAAACACGAAAACGGCCTTTTCTCTAGTCTCTGGACAGGGTTTCGCTACAGCTTCTGGCCGGCGTCGGCGAGTGGGCACACGGCCCGCGGTTCTGGAAAGTCCGCTCGGCCACCGCGACCCGGGCGAGGGCGCGCGTGCTGCGTCTCGGAGCCGCAGCTGGAAGGGCCGCTAGGGAACAGCCGGTTACCAGAAGGACGCCCAGGCCAGAAGGGGAAGAACCGGGTCCAAGGTCACTGGGCCGGCCGAGCGCGCTGGGCCCGGGAGGAGTCTGACGGGCCCCGGTGCAGATCGGCGAACACCCGGGCGGCCGACGCCTCCCGCTCCGCGGCCAATGCGGTCCCCCGCTCCAGAGTTGCGCCCCGGGCACACTGGGGGCCCCCCCTCGGCCTGCGGGACCCCGCCCCGCCCCGCCCCGCCCCGCCCCCAGACGGCAAGCCGCCCCCCACCCCCGGTGGAGGCCCCGCCCCCGGGGTCGCGGCTCCGCCCCCAGACTGCGTTCTCGCTCCGCCCCTGCCGCCCCGCCCCGCCCCCACACCGCAGGCTCTGTCGCGCCCCGCGAGGCACTTCCCCGCCCCACGTCCTTGGCCCCCGCGCGGCGCCCCCGGCGCCGGCGCACCCCTCCGCAGCTCCCCGGGGCCGCGCGCGCGCCGGCTCTGGGCGGGGCCACGCCGAGAGGTGGGCTCCGCCCCCTCCCCCGCGGCTCCTCCCCAACCTCCCCTCGGGCGCTGTCACTCCAGCGGTGCTCCGCCGGGCCCCGCCGCCCTCTCCCAGCCATGCCGGCCTGGCGCCCCGCGGTCCTCGTCTGCCTCGCTTTGTGCCTGGCCGCGCCAGTTCAGAGAGGTAAGGTGGGCGGGGGGTGCGGGGGGACCCCGCCCGGTGGGCCCGCGGGGCGGGGGCTCGGCGCCCCTTCGGCTCCGTGGTGCGCATGAGCGGCCCGGCCCCCGCCCCGCTGGCCTGCAGTGCCCGCGCGGGGCTCAGGGCTGGGGTGCGATCCCCGAGCTCGCCAGGGCCGACCCTGCTCGATCCTTGTGGCCAGAGAAGAGCTCCCCGAGCCCCCTGCTAATGCTGGGCTGGAAAGCCACGGGATTGTCCTCCTTTAAAATCCGGAACAAGCAGGTGTCACCACCGCTGACAACAGCTATCCCCAGAAGACTGCCTTTCGGGGGACCTTCAAGAGACCACTCATTCCCTTGAGCGGGACTTCTAGAAGTATGCTTGGGGTCATCTGCAGCAGAAGCCCGTGGGGAACTTCTTGCATGGATTTCTATCCCCTTTTGTTAGGATCGTGCCGGGATGGGGGCAGGGAGCATGTGTTAGCTCTAAGCAGGTCCCAGGTGCTTCTGGTGCCTGTCCCAGTTTTCTAACCATTGATAATGCGATGTCAAGGAGGAGAGAGGAATTCTGCAAACGAAGGGACCAAGTTTCTTCAATCCCTACTACTGAGTGTGCCCCAGGGCCCAGCAGAACTGCCTCACCTGGGGATGTGAGGGTTGCGGCAGCTCAGGCCCTGCCCCTGCCCTGCTGGGTCAGACTTTCCATTTGTCTAGATTCCCACGTTATCCCCTGGCACTCTGGAGCCTGAGAAGCATCTTCTTAGAACAAATGCAGTCTTTGGTTAAAAATAGGTTCTCCAACCTGTACCAACAGAATCTTCTTACACTTATTTAAATCCCATCTCTGCATCAGAAAAGGGATTTGAAGAAAACAGTGCCCCTGAGCACATGCAAAGAAGGCACATTCAGTTACTGTCAAAGATACGAGGCCAGCAAAACCCAAACTTCCTTGTAGAGCTGAGTTCTGGTGAGATTTATATTACACATGAGGAATCTTGGAAAACAGTGCTAACCAGGGCAGTTTTGTAAAAGATGCGAAAATGCTTCTCATGTGGGCAGTCCCCATGGTGTGAATACAAGAAGAGCCACTCACCATTTTATAAAAGGCCGGGCTGCGTTCTAGATGTTACTGCAGCAAACAACAGACTGACAGTCCTCTTAGGGCCCGGAGGTCCCGGTGTGGAGCAATGCGCACAGATGTCCTGGTCTACGTAACATTAGTGCTGTGAAGAAGATTAAAACACGTTGCAGGGTTGTGGGATTTTGTTTTGGGGTAAACACGTTTGTTTTGATTATGATGCATTTGTGCGGAAAACCGTAATCATCGGTTCACTTACAGCTAATGAGATGGAAGATTTGCAAGTGGGAGCGCAAGACAGGTGGAAAAGCCATACTCCCTGCCAGGCCGTGTCCTGAAGGACGCTGAGGCGTTGAGAGATGCACAGCAGCGAGAATCGGTGCCCCATTCGCCTCGCTTGCTGCAGGAGGCTGTGCGGGAGCGGGTGGGGGAAGCACACACCAGTTCAGCCATGTTGCAGCTGAGGAAGTGCAGACCCAGAGAGGTGAAGTCACGAGCCTCGGGCGGCAGAACTGAGTGGATCCCAGGCTCGTGTGAGCCCAGCGTCATTGCACAAGGCCACCACGCTGGGAAGCCGTCCTCCTCTCGCTTGCCAGCCAGGCGGCCTTGGGAAAGTTCTCACTGTGTTTGCTCGTCCAGATAATGCCACCAGTTCCCGGAGGTGTCTGACGAGGACCAGACGTGTCACTCTCACATCTGCAGCCCTGCCAGTAGTACCGTCTCCTGAGGGCCTGCTGTGCGCCAGGGATGTCCCGTGTACTGCTTTTAACTGTCCCACCACCTGGGTTAACTATTAGGCCTACCTTCCAGGTGAGGGGCCTCGGTCACACAGCTGGGAAGAGAGACTCAGGCTCTCAGCCACTTTGATGAAGGAATCCGAACCAGAGGAAGTTTTGACTTCCAGGTAGTGACCCAGTTTTCTGGGTCTTTTATGCCAAATCAGATGGCAGCTGCGGGTTTTGCATTGTGCCTCCCTGGGGACTGGGACATTAGTGTCAGAACTGCTGCACTGAAGTAAGCAAACACCAGGTGACCCGTTGAGACAGACTTTAAGCTCCCAGGAGTTTGAAAGGGTGTTGACAAGCGTTGCCCCGCTAATTCCGGATGGGTTTTTGGTCCACTGATGTGTGTCCCGGCGCTCACCTACGGAGATGGGAAGCTGTTTTTTTTGGGCAATAGCAGGGCTCCCGTTTCCTGAATACCTGCCACGCCAGGCCTCTGTTGCCTCTCACACATTTTCCCCTCACAACTACTCCCCAGACATTGGCACTGTGACCATCTGGTCTCCTGAGGCCTGCAGTCCAGTGGCCTCCCCATGTGCTGGCTACACCGGCCTTATCTGCACCCAGGTGCCCAGGGGCATGGCAGTGAACTCGTCCCATGCATATTTTTAATTTTCAAGGAAATGCAGTGATGATTTAAGATGCCACACAAACTATTATTAAATTGCTTGGAACAACTTAATAAATGGAACTATTAGGTCTTCCTTCGGTTGAGGGGTACTGTGAAGAAATCAATGAGACATTAGGGGAAATCTATGGACTGAACCCAGTGGGAAATCGGAGGCCAAGGGAAGCCACTGGCACTGCCATGTTGGTGGTTCTGAGGTGATCATAAGTGGCAGGCCCTGCTGAGGACAGAGCTGCTACTGCATGGACGAGCAGCTACTTACTGGGTATCGGGCGTGGTGGGCGAAACAGAGCAGGATAAAGTCAAGCCTACTCCTCAAGGAGCGCAGTCTGGACAGACCTGGAAGCAGCTGTACCTAGTGCGCCTGAGCCATCATGAAGGAGACAGGATTCCATTATGGCTGCCATGCTGTCTGCCCGTGAGACCTCCACCCCCTCTCTCCCCCTGCAGAAAGCTGTTCTGTCCTCGACTGATGCCTAATCAGCCACTGCAAACTTAGTAGCTTAAAACAACCACCATTTAATTACGCTCCTTGATTCTGAGACTGAGAGTCAGGACACAGCAGGGATGCTGTCTCCTAGGCCCTCCCCTGGGAAGATGCACACAATGGGGGGTTCCTACACGCGCATGTCCCAAAGGGCCCCGCACAGCTGAGGCTGTTGCCATGTGGCCTCTCCCGGCCTTCGGGCATGCTACAGCATGGTGCTGTACTGGACCGTCCACACAGCCCCCCCAGGCCCCATGTGCCAGTCTTCCAGTGGACAGCGTGGAACCACCTGGCTTTTTAAAAACTGTGGTAAAATACACACAAAATGCCATTTAACTATTTTTAAAGTGTGCAGTTTAAAGGCACGAAGTCCCTTGTCAACGCTGCACCCATCAGCACGATGCCGCCAGGAGACTTGCATTGCCCTGAGGGGGAATGCCATGCCCGTTACCCGTCAGTCCCCAGCCCCCCTCACCCAGCCCCTGGCAGCCATGGCCAGCTCTCGGTCTATTTGAATTTGCCTGTTCTGGACCCTTCATAGCAGTGGAATTAGCCACTGTGTGGTCTCTTGTGACTGGCTTCTTTCACTTAGGGTCACTTTCCTGAGGTTCAGCGCGTGGCGGCCTGGGTCAGCGCGCCATTCCTTTCAGTGACTGAATGAGATTCCATTGTCTGCGGACACTACGGTTTGCTTTGTCTCTTCATCAGCTGATGGACACTTGGGCTTGTCTTCCCTTTGGGGCTGCATCTGTTGAGCACAGTGGTCTGTTTTTCCTCCGGGGGCCATATGCCCAGCGCCTGGCCTCTGATGACGCTTGCGCTGCGCTCTGTAACTGAGTCGCTTGATGAAGCTCATCCACATTCAAGGTGAGAACATGTACCCCACCTCACAATGGGGGCGTGTTCATTTTCAGCCACAATTTCAGAATTCCACGTAATTCCACTGAGACTTCAAGGTCCAGACAAAGTGCTGCTTGTTCCGTGCGGCCTTCTCGAGCTCTGCTGGTTGGACACTACGCAGACTTGCTCTGACGTGCCATGCTGGTACATGGAGTGTGTGCTTGTTTTCTTGCATGCTGCACTTTCTCAGTTTCATTCCTAGTATGGTAAATATCCTTGGACAGGACCCACATAAGTAAAATCTCCTTCAGAGTCTCAGTTTGTGAGTATATTGAGTCCTAAGACCAGAGAGCCAGAAAGTTGCTGTTCTGGGGTATACGGCACAGAGCACCTCCTGGGCTGCCTGGGGCCTGTCTCTTCCTCTGACCCGCAGGCCTTGAGCTCTCCCAAGTGAGCGCGCCAGTTTCTGTCAGCACTGAAGTCTCCCCTGTGCCACAGCCTCATCAGTACTTGCTACGTCAGGCTTTGCTCTCATTTAATGTTATTCTGGTTGCATTTGTTGTGCAATTTGATTTCTTTTATGAATTGCCTGGTCAAGTCTTGGCTCATTTTTCTGTTTATTCTTTTTCCATAGTTCTCACTCACTCACCCGCCTGCTTGCTCACTCCCGACGCCTGGGTAGTTTTGGCTCTGTACTGCTCATCGTTCTTGAAATAGGCACGTGGGGCTATTTTGAAGTTCACGTAGCTAGGCCTTCTCTCACACAAGACTTGGGTCTGATTTCACCCAGGGCCTGGAACCACCGAAAATAAGTGCCTGAGCTTCCCCTCGTGTCTCCCCCGCACCAAGGCTGCCTTCCATGCAGCCCTCTGGGGTTTACATTGGGGAGGGGCAAGTTTGTTTCTGAGTCACCTTTATCCCAAGGGTGCAGCTCTTTGGGGTTCCTCTTAAATATGGGAAGAATTTTCCGTTATAGTCGTCAGTGTGGGTGGCCATGGGCACACGCTCCTCTGGGCAGGCACTGACCATGGTTTTGGCAACCTTCCAAGCCAGATGAAGGCAACTGAGAAACCCTTACCCTGTTTATCCAGGTAACCTGCTGTTGTATTTTCATTCGTAATTAAAATTCTTTCAAATATGACTTTTGATAACGAGGTGAACTTTGGGTCTTTGCTGTTATAAATCACACTTC